CTAGTAGTAATGCCCTTGTTACTAGTAGCGCTGCACTTGCTACTAGTTGCTTCTTGTAACTAGTAGTAATGCCCTTGTTACTAATAGCGCTGCACTTGCTACTAGTAGCTTCTTGTTACTAGTAGTAGTGTTCATGTTACTAATAGCGCTGCACTTGCTACTAGTGTCTTCTTGTAACTAGTAGTAATGCCCTTGTTACTCATAGCGCTGCACTTGCTACTAGTTGCTTCTTGTAACAGTAGTAATGCCCTTACTAGTTGCTTCTTGTGACTAGTAGTAATGCCCTTGTTAGTAGTAGCGCTGCACTTGCTACTAGTTGCTTCTTGTAGCTAGCAGTAATGCCCTTGTTACTAATAGCGCTGCACTTGCTACTAGTTGCTTCTTGTAACTAGTAGTAATGCCCTTGCTACTAATAGCGCTGCACTTGCTACTAGTTGCTTCTTATTACTAATCATTTCTTCCAAGACTTTTCTCCGACCCGGTGTCCTCCGCTCCGCTCTTCTCGGTGCCCAACTCTTGGCCCAGTCTCCGGGGCCGGTGGCTCCGCGTGCGCTGCTGCGGCGGTTGCTGCTGGCTGCGATAGACGAGAACTTCATCCAGGCCGGTGACTGTGGATCTGTGGGTCGAATAATGTTGTGGGTGACGAGAGCGTGATGGCTTATTGATTGTTGTTGTGATGATGCAGAATTTGTCTTCTACTGGCGTGCTTGAACATTTGGTTCGACAGACTGATTTTTGCGATGCCAAGTAAGCTAATCTGCATTCCCAATTGAAACAGAAAACAGATGTGCCAAACTTGTCCGGGGAGCGCCTTGTAAAGGGTTTGGTGGAACTGGAGAGAAGAATAGCACCCGACGAAGAGGTTGCCCAAAAGCTGTATGTCGAATTCCAGGATGCCAAAACCCCAAGCCGCTGTCAATTATCTCCAGGGCAAGAAGAGCTTGGTGGCTGATTCACTTGCAGATCTTGCTTTTCTCTTGGATAAGGAGGAGTGACTTGGCAATAGAACCATTGCTGTCGCAGGGGCCATGGACAGCATCACAGCTATTGAGTCACTAAAATTAATCCTCAGTTGAACTTTTTGATTGCGTTTGACGTTGGCCCTAAAACAAGGTCTTCCAGGGGGTCCCTTTTTTCACAATGTTTGGGTGTTGGACGATGAGATAAGATAAACTACAGTAAGTACGATAGATGAGATGCTACAGAGGGTTGTTGCGAACAATGCCAAAAAAGAAGCGCGCCATTGGTACAATCGGTTCGATTTCTCTCTCAAGAGGATGAATGATATTCCACCAAAGCTGTATGTGTGGTTCTACAAAAGCGGAATGCAGCCCATGTGTGGATTTCTTGCCAAAAAAACTTCGCTGAATGTTGCAAGCAAGACTCCCAAAGCACCCCATGCCGTGGAACCTACTGATGAAGCCGTGCAAGCAATCTCTTCACACGATTATGATTCTGTGTGTTTCCACGTTCAGTATTTTGATGGATTGGTTTCGGATGGTTTGACCAGCCTTCTTGGGGTCTTGCTGGGTACCGATATGTACCGATGTAAGGCTGTTTGAGTCAACTCACCTTAGCTGTCCACATAGGCTGTTGCGTTTGGTTGCTTGAAGCAAGCAGCTGAATACGATGCCCTGACCTGATGTAACTGATGTAACATGATGTAAGTCTTCAACATAGCAAAGAAAAAGAGGCCTTGTGTTACTGTTACATACTAGGAAGCGTTAAGATGCCTGAACGTCCGGTACATTATTATGGATGTGAACAATGTGTAGTTGTATGGTATGGTTATCGAATGGTACAGATATAAGTCAACGGCCAACTCACCTGTATCAGTAGGGCCGATAGGATGCAACCTCAGTCTTTTCTATTTGGTTCCGTTGCTTTTGTCAGGTTCCTCAGTTTTATCAGTTATCAGTTAAGAATCACTTCTCAGTTCCTTTTCTGTGGGCGCACGAACACAAGTTTGCTGCAGTCAAAAGCCTAAAGCTGCATTCACCCGAATTCACCCGTCAATCTGGCAACATCCATAGAACCGTTATGTTATGTTATATATATATGTGAATACCAGGTTACAATCACATGAGTTCTTGGGGTTTTGTGCCAGACTATTTTTTGGGCTCTCTCTCTCTCTCTCTCTTTCTCCTCTCCCTCTCTCTCTCTCTGTATTAGACTCGACTTGCGTGCACATCCATCTCCCACCAGTGAGGTTCATCCCTTTCTACACCCGGCGGATTTTCCTTCGCCGTGGGGGTCGACCCACCTACGGCCTGGGCACCGGCAAGCGGAGCGGCTTCTCAAAGCGCTACTGGATTTGCACCTCGGCGAAGATCCAAAGCGAGTTGGAGAAGCGAAAAGACTAAGAAGTGATCGATTATTTTTGTGCCTTTCGTTGGTTTGGGAAGAGGGGGGAGCATGGCGAAGAAAAGGCATAGAGCATAGCTCTGCCAGCTCTGCAATCCATAATGCATCATAATGCCATAGTTTTTTTGAAGGACGGACGACTTTAGTTACGCCAATTTGGCAAAACACTGAAGAGCAAGTCAGGAAATTTAGATCTTGGGAAGGTGATGCAGGATTTCTTCCTTCAACTGTACGATGAATAGCGGCAACCCTTGGTTGAGAAACATTAGATTGAGACTAATTAACCGTTATGCTGCATGCTACTATGCAGACGTCTATTCCACAACTTGCCCTTTGTCGCTGCCAGCAGCATGAAACCATGTGAATTACAAGAAACCTATTCCATGGCCTTGAAAGCTTAGCTCAGTTTGGCAAAACCGTTTCGTGCAATCTTCGGCATTGCCAGGGAATCAAACAGTTGTTCGAAGTTTCCTTCTTCTGCATTTGAGTCGTGGTGGGACAAACCAGAGGGCCAGAGACTGTCAGTGTAGCTAGCAGGAGCTGGATTGCATTTCCTCCCACGCTTTCGCTTCAGGTTGGCCAGAGACCTTCTACCCCAATACCAAGCGGAGAACTTAGTGAATACATGCCCCACAGCGAGAGTATGGCCCACGAGATGTCCAAAACCAGTGACATTGAGCTGCCCTGCAACGTTGCATGCAAGCTTTTCCAATTGCCGCAACTCTGCTGCTTAAGATGAATTTGCCTCGAAGATAGACCCTGCTCAGATAGGTCCCAGATAGGTCTTCGAGAGAGTATTTCGGATATTTAATGGGCCCGGCCCTGAGAGATGTATGACAGGTGATGAGATATATGTCGCTTAGTGACGTCGTGCGAGCGGCCAGGAAGATGGGCTCACCACATTGCGACAAGAACGATTGAGACATGCCGGGCATTCCGAGCGGATTCCGAGCGGTCAACGGCCGGAGTATGGAGTGGTACAAGTGGTGGAGTGGTGTTCAGACAACAACTCTTTAGTCTTTAGTCCGAAAAACTCTGCTAGTAGCGATGGCCTCCAACCTAAGAGCGTCCTTGCTACTAGTAGCTTGTTGTTACTACTAGTAAGTCCAGGAGCTACTAGTAGCGTCCTTGCTCCTAGCAGCGATGGCCTCCAACCTAATAGCGATGGCTCTAGAATGTCCAGACATGAGGATGAGTCAAAACCTGGAGCTCGACTAGTCCACCACGTAGCGAACGACCGACACCAGGCACACCCAGTGTGCATGCATTTGATGTGCTTGCAGCACTCGCCAGCTGCCATCGCACCCACTCCTTGGGGCTAGCTCGCAAGGTGTGAGATGTTTCACCCAAATAGATCCAAATAGGTTGGCACCTGCCCACCTGTCCATCGCTTTTGCTGCGCATGAGCAGGATGGTAAATGCTTGATGAGTGGCTACCTGGCCAACCTCATCTGAGGCGAAACCCTTCTCACCAAGGTATGTTCTGTTGGAGCAGGGTTTTGAAAGGCATGATGTTTCTGCGCATTCTGATATCACCCCTGGTTTATGGCCAAAGCAAGTCGCTGGCCGGAGGGTCTTCCTTCGCTTTCCTCTTGGGCAAGACTCACCTTCTTCCTTTACCGTTTAAGCTTTGTGGTCTTCAAGGCCTTCCTGACTTCGGCCACTTAGACTTGCACACTCCACTCGATCGAGACAATCTTTAGAGGCATTTGTTGAACTGAAATGGTCCCACTGTCAAGCAGGCCAGTTCTTTGCATACATCCACAATGATGTTATTGATTATTAATCTGTGCACATAATAAAGGAGCCCGACTATTCCACTCACAAGGATGAGCCTTTAATGCTGAAATGCATTGGTTTTAATCGAAGCATATCCAGCCAACGCCTTTGCCTCTTGCCATTGCTTGCGCGCAACCTTGGTGCTGTGTGACAACGACGGACTCGAGGCTCGTCAGCCTGCTGCGAGCGAGGCGCGGGGTCACGAGCTTGACGCCACAGCCATGGTGTTCAATGGGTTTTAGTATGTTTTAGTCTATTTTCCTCCTTCCAGGGGCCCGGGGTCTGCGGGAGGTCTCCCTATTTAATACACATGCACCCATATTGGTATTCATTTTTGTTGATCGAGGCGTTGTCATTTCCGCATTCCGACGGGTCTTGGTGGTGAACCCCAGGTCATGGCTGCGTGCGTTGGAGTTGCTACGCCGAGATGTTCGGGGCAAAAAGGTGTCGCGCCCAGCAGCAGAGCACACTCAGGCAGGGCTTTGCGTCTTGACTCTCGCGCGTTGACGAAAGCTTGATACTTGATACTACCAGATTATCATTCCATGGCCACTTTGGTGAAACGTGTGAAGCGTGTGAACACAATTGTTTAACTATTCAGCCTGGAACAGGTGATGAGTGACAAGGTGGCCTGAATCATCTAGAGATGGTTGCTAACAGATGGCTATTCTCCGATTTGCAACCGGGTGACGTATCCATTGTGTGTGCGCGCCGCGGGCACCTGTGCTGGCTGTATATACAGGTCTCGTTGTTCTGGAATGAGCCGGTGCTCCACCGACCACGCTGGGCTTGGGCATTGGATCCTCAGCCGGGGAAGCTAGCAAAGCTAGTGTACCTGTTCTCACTAGAAAAGCCGACGAATCGAAAGAGGCTATAAATGCAGAATGGCGTGACCTGTTCCGCTCAGATATAAAAAGTAAATGCAAACAACAAGCACCTCTCATCAAGAATTCGGATGTGGAGGTGTCAACTCGTGGGAATTGCATCTACAGAACCAGGGCAATTGAAGTCTGACATGTTCTTGTTTGTTAACTATGGTAGTTGGCAGGTTGACTTACCTAGGCAGAGATAGTATATCGACGTTTCTCATGAGCTTCTTGCAGAGGTCTTCACAAATTCAGCCCCAAACGGTGCAAGACGACAAGTTCCAAAAGGGTTGGAATATGTTTGAATGGACACATCTTTCGGATGATCGGATTTTTTGTGGCTCTGGACAGTGGGGGCACACATTCCCCAAACCTATATTTGGTTTGGTACTGGTACTGGTCGGTACTGGTTTGGTTTGGTTTATTACTCCTATTAGGATCTATTTGGTACTGTTTCGCTTCTTCAGACGAATCAGCGAACCAAGGAACTACTTGTTGCTGATGACCATGATGACCTCAGACACGTGAATCAGGTCTGGCTCCCAGACCACAGACCTGAGACTTCACAGATTCGCTCTGGATGGAATCTGGTATTTTAATCGACTTGATCCACTGGTAAGAGTTTAAGTGTGGCTTTGGTTGTGCATGAGCATAAGATGCTGCTTCAACTTGAGCATTTTCTATGCGGAGTCGCATAGACATAGATGCATGGATATACATCACATTGCTGTCGGCACAGCCATGACGCACACGAATGGCTGGGAGATGATGGGAACGGCCACAGAGGCCTTGTTGATCCTTGCGCGTGCAGCACAGTGGGAAGAAGCTCTTTGTGTCTTCTTGCATCGCATTGAGAGATTGAAGGTCAAGGCCGGCAGTCACGGCTGGGACGTTCGAGGTGTGGGGAGAGTTTCTCACGATGTGCCTCGGAATCTCGTGGAGTTTTGGTATTGTTCACCTCGTGAGTGGTGAAGGCTTTCATTTTTATTTGGGATTGCTAATGCCAGCAAATCCAAAGAGGGACTATTGCCTTCATGTGTCAAAGTTGGCGAGATAGATAGGACTGTTTTGATTCGGTCTGATAAATGTGGATTGAATTTGAACTGATGTTTGGACGCATCAGTATCATATCTAACGATGAGTATTGATTACATTCATTACTAATAGCTTCTTGTTCCTAGTAGCAAGGCCAGGAGCTTCTAGTAGCTTCTTGTTCCTAGTAGTAAGGCCAGCAGCCGCTAGTAGCTTCTTGTTCCTAGTAGTAAGGCCAGGAGCCCCCACTAGTAGTGCCAGGAGCCCCCAGTGGCTTCTTGTTCCTAGCAGTAAGGCCCGGAGCCCCTAGTAGCTTCGTGTTCCTAGTAGTAAGGCCAGGAGTCTCCAGTAGGCGAGGAGCTTCTTGTTCCTAGTAGT